GTTCAAGCCCCGCATTGGGCTCACTGCTGTCAGCCTGTCAGCACAGAGCCTGCTTTGGATCCTCTACCTGCCTCTCTCTGTCCCTCCCTCACTTGTGTTCTCCCCCCAAAAGTAAACAATTATTAAAAAAAACAAAAAGCAAAAATAACCCTGCTCTTGGTCAGTAGAACAAACTGCATAAAAGGTAATCTAAATCTTTGGGAAGATGAACTGATGTTCTTACCTGTAAAACTTTACCATGGACCACGGTCCCAAGGACTCCTGAGCACAGTCTTGGAGTTAAGCCTGTGAACAACCCACGCTTCCCGTCAATGCTGGCGATGTGCTGAGCTAAGAACACAAGTCAGAGATTTAAATTCCAGCTGAAAGAAATAGTTACATAGAAATTTCATGTCAACAGGCTTTCTATATGTTTTCTTTCCATACCTCCTGCCTACCTATCATCATCCTCAATGTCCTCCAATTCCAAATAAATCAAAAACACTTACCATAACAAAACAGACCAGGAAGCTGACATACTTGCCGCCCAAAAATATTTCGTCCTATTGTTGGAGGAAGAGGCTCATATCCCACCTTTAAAAACAATAGGATGTATCAATACTAAGCAATATTCCCCAAAATACCTTGGTTGTAAAGTTATAATTTTTAACCTCAGTTAAAATACAGCATACGTTTTCCGAGGCAATGATGAAGTATCATCCTTGTCAGTTTCTTATTCCCTCAACTGATAACACTAGTTTCAATAAACTCCAAGCTTCCTTTTGTTTGGTTCAAATTCTACAAAGTAAGCCATGTAGCTGAGCTGGACTAGTATCAAATTGAAAACAGAGTAAGGGAACTTTTGTGTTAGGAAAGCTACAGTTTACTGAGGCTCAAAAATATTTTCTAAAGAAAATCTAACACATTTTAAATAAAGTAATCTCCATGCCCAGCGTGGGGCTTAAACTCACAACTGGGAGATCAAGAGTTGCATGCTATACCAACTAAGCCAGCTACGCTCTCCAAACACATTTTTTATATTTGGACAAAACAGAAGACTAAGCCAGTATCCACTATGGATTTGGCTATCAAGATGAAACACTCAAAAGGCAAATGCAGATACGGTTGGATAAGTCATGTGGGAAATGATTATAAGCTAAATCCATGTTAAACAAGCTGATTGTCATTAATAATCTAATGAAGACCATTTTAGAGTTAATGATTATCATTTTATTTCTACAATATATTCAGCATTCTTAGTGCTAAAGAGAAAGTTGAGAGAACGAATGCCATAGGACTTGGTTTTGACTCGTTATTGCCGTGATTCTTAACCTGTTCAATTAACTCCTGACTGAGCTCCCTCAAAGCGCTACCATACAACTATTTTTAAAACTGAGTATTCGGGGGGCACCTGGGTGGCTCAGTCAGCTAAGCATCTGACTTCAGCTCAGGTCATGATCTCGTGGTTCACGGGTTCCAGCCTCGCATCAGACTCTATGCTGACGGTGCGGAGTCTGCTTGGGATTCTCCCTCTCTCTCTCTCTCCCTCTTTCCCTGCTCCTCTCCCACTGTCTCTCAAAATAAATAAATAAACTAAAAAAAATAAATAAATAAAGCTGAGTATTTGGAAATTTCACCAAAACCCTTAAAGACACTTGGCAACACACAGAAGTTAAGTAATCAGGGCTGAGGATATTAAAATTTTTGAGACAAGAGCTCTAGACGTCACTAAAAAAACACTGTCTCCTGAAGAAGTACTGAGCTCATAGCAGATTTACTGCAAAATGTCATCTCAAGACACTATTTAGCTACAAATGTGCCAATTCTGTTTTAGATGTCATAGCACATTTCAATCAAAGTCTTTGTTCTTAGTTAAAATAATTTACTTTATAATAGCCTTTTATGTACGGAATCTGAATCCACATGGGTCAGCCAAGCGACACATAATATGGAGTAGCATCAACTCAATAGTAAGAAATGTGGCCCTCCTTAGGGTCTTGCATGTTTCTGACAGAAAGGTAGATGGCAAGGACAGGGGTTCTAATCACTGCTCCCTTCCTTGGAATAATGCATGACATAATTATGTCAACTCTCAACAAGAGTTTAAAAAAATGAATGACATGCCCATCACAGGGAATTCTAGAAAGGCAACTGAAAACACTATCAAATAGTGTACCATCAGGTAAAACCTGGGTTACTTGCCTGCGAATGTAAAATGTCACTTAAGGATTATTTCACAGTAGATTAGAAACTAACATATATGCTTCAACTCTTTCATCTGAACTATTCCAAGCTCAGACAGATGTGGTTTCCACTGTCATGAGTCACAAGGGCTGCTCTTGGGAGAGCGCTCAGTGAGCTCAGTGAATCCTCTCACTTCTGAATGAGCTCCTTGTGTTTACCTGGGTATCTGGTGCTAAATCTCAGAAGAGTAACAGTAGCAAAGAAAAAAGAAGAAAAAAAACGCTAATCAAGTGTTGGCTCCCCTTTAATATCAAATTTGTCTTTAATATATTTAATGTCTTGCGTTCGGGCCGGGGGAGGAGGTGAATGCTAATTTCAGAGGGGTATGCAGGGAGGGTTGGGAAGCTCTTGGTGGCAACTGGCCAGTATCAACCTCAGGGATGAAAAAACAAAGTTCAGAGGAGCCACCGGGCAGGGCAGGACGGCAGTTGGCTACGGGGAAAGGATCGGGCCTCCCCGCCTTCCCCAGGAAGGAAGCGAGACCTGGGGAAGGCCCATGGGCAGTGGAAGAGGCGCGGGCAGTGGAAGCTGTCCCTGCGGGGAAGGAAGGGGCAGCAGGGAAAAAGCAGCATCTCAGGGGACTGAAGGCCCGGGAAGGCTGGAGCCGATCGCCAAGCGCGAAGGGCAGCGGCGACTAAACAAGGCGCCGGGCGGGGAAAGGGATGGCGACGACTCATACCTGGATGAGCACCTTCACGTACATGAGCGGCTGGGACAGGATGGTGAGGCCGGAGCCCAGGAGCACCTGACTGGCTGCGTCCGCCATGATGGCACCCGCGGACGGACAGACAGATCAAGCCACCAAGCGACCGAGCCGCTCCCGTATCACGTGCCAGGGCCGCCGGCTTCACTGGCCCGCCCGCGGCGCGCGCACACACGCACGCACCGGCGCGCGCCTCTCCGTCCAGTCCCCGCCCACCGCCCCGCCCGGAGAAACGGCAGGCGCTCGCGAGCCAGCGCAGGGGTCGGGGCGGGGCTTACAGGCCAGGGCCGCATGCGTTTTGTAGTGGGATCCGCGCCCTCCACTAAGAAAGGCAGTTTCTTTTGCGCTTGCGCAGGCTGGGAGCCTCGGAAGGAGAAGAATGGGCGTGGCAGTGGGGCGTCAGTGACCCTGACGGCAAAGGCAAGGTCAGAGGAATAAAAGAATTGGAGAGTTCTCTGTATGCTTTGCCTGGACAGTTGCACTTTGGGCTGAAAGATCGGTCCTAGTCTGGCCGACTCCATTTTGTTGTGTGTCCTCCATCTTGAGTGACTATGTCTCCGACATGGCCCCCTTTTCTGGGAAAACCCGCAGAAAGAAATTCCTGCTCACTCGCTAAAAGCCGCTCTCCTTGGGTAACTTCCCGCTCACCCGTTCAAACTTCCCATACAAACCACGCCTGGCAACCTGCACAACGGGACTCTGATCCTTCCCCAGCCAATCAGCTAAGGCCACGACCATCACCCCACCAACTACCCCTAGACCCCTATGAACCTTTGTGATTTTGAAACTCAGTCTCTCTCTGGCATCTCACCGCTGCGTCGGTGCAGGTAGGAGATTGAGCTCGAGCTAGCTCAAATGAAGGTTCCTTGCTTTTGCATCAGACTCGGCTCCCTGGTGGTCTTTGGGGATCGTGAATTCTGGGCATAACATTTGGGAGCTCCTCCGGGATCCCCAAGACTCCCGAGGGACCCCCCCAACCCAGAGAGCCTGACTGGCCACGGTTAGTGTCTGTCCATTCCCTGTCTCTTCTGTGTGAGCTCATTTCTGATATTCTGGTAGTGCCCGGCGTGGTCTAAATGGACGCACTGGAGGACCACGGGCCGGGAGTTTCAGAAGACGTTCCAATCCTCCCTTCTGGAGGGATGTGGATTCCCCTCAAAGGTCTGAGACGAGGCGGGTCGCTCCCGCCGGTCGGCGTGAGGCCATTGTCTAGCTTTCAGTTTTGCTTCCACGGACTTGGAAGACTGTTTCTAGGGGCCCTCTGTCTGTCTGTTTCTGTGTTTCTCTGTTTTGTTCTGTGGACTTACTAGACGGATGTTATGGGACAGACTCAGACTACTCCTCTAAGTATTATGATTGATCACTTTAAGGATGTCAGCCAAAAAGCTAACAACCTCAGTGTGGAAGTCCAAAAGGGTTGGTGGCAGGTTTTTTGTTCTAGCAAGTGGCCAGCTTTCAATGTCAGATGGCCGCCAGAGGGCACGTTCAACCTCCCTACCGTCCACCGAGTCAGGGGTATCATCTCTCGGCCTAAGACGGGCCATCCTGATCAGCTCCCTTACGTTATCACTTGGCAGGACCTTGTAGAAGACCCACCCTCTTGTCTTAAGCCCTTCCTAGCCCCACGCCCTCCAGAGCCAAAACCCATTCTTGCTTTGCAGGGGACAGAGAAGAAGGAGAACAAGAAAAGTCTTACCCAGCCTTCAGCACCCCTCTACCCTGTCCTACGGGGGGGGGGGGGGGGGACTAAAAAAGAATTATTTTTTCCTTCCCCGTATAACCCCCTAGGATGCCGGAAGAACACCATCCTCCCCCTCTGGGGGAGGCAGACGCTGTTCAGAGAGCGGGAGGCAGAAACGCTCCAGTGGGAAGCCCACCCTTTACCAGACAAAGGGCTTAGAGGGAGCAGTCTGCCTCCGCCGCTGACTCCACTATTCTGCCCCTGCGAACCACCAGACCCCCAGACGCGAAGGGGAATCAGCCCTATCACTATTGGCCTTTCACCACTAGTGACCTCTACAATTGGAAAGCTCAGAATCCTAAGTTTTCCGAGAAACCTGCAGGGCTTATTGATTTATTAGACTCTGTTCTTTTTATCTATCAGCCCACATGGGATGATTGCCAGCAGCTCTTGCAGGTCCCGTTCACGACTGAGGAAACAGAAAGAATCCTCAGTGAGGCCTGAAAACTAGTTTTGGGCGCTGACGGGAATCCCACCGCCAACCAGGCTCAGATAGATGCCTCCTTCTCCTTAACTCGGCCCAAGTGGGATTTCATCACGGCAGAAGGTAAGGAGAGGCTCCGGGTCTACCGCCAGACTC